GGGATACACACACACACACACGCGCACACACGCACGCACGCACGCACGCACGCACGCACGCACGCACGCACGCACGCACGCACGCACGCACGCACGCACGCACGCACGCACGCACGCACGCATGCACGCATGCATGCATGCATGCATGCATGCATATATATATATATATATACACACACATACCTACATATGCACACAGACGCTTATATATATATATACATACATACATATGTATATATATACACATATGTATATTTATATATATATATATACATATGTATATATATATATATATACACACTTATGTGTGTATATGTATATATGTATGTATGTATGTATGTATGTATGTATGTATGTATGTATGTATGTATGTATGTATGTATGTATATGTATATACACATCGACACATACATATACATGTATGCGCATCTGTATCTATGTATATAATGGCCTTATACATGTCGTTTGTTGATTTGCTTATTTTGGAGACACAGCAGAGGGTTCTTGTTAGTGTCTTGGCAAAGAGATTTTGGGGTTACGTACGGGGTTCAAGGTGAGCATCCTGCCCTGAACCCTGCGCCTCCTGTGGTATGCCAGGAGGAGGAGGTTGCCGGGGTGCCATCGCGGAAGGCCTGCTTGTCCAGGTTGAGCATCGGGCCGTGGATTGGGGTGTAGAGGCGGGTTCAGGGAGACAGGGCTGGGCAGCAGAACGGAATTTTTTCAACGACCAAGCATGATGGCCGTCATGCAGTGAGTGCTGCCACGAAGACACGGGACCCAGCTTGGAGGGCTGTTGCCAGCGGGGCCTCCTGTCCCTCACACTGGCACGGAGGTTTGCTCTGAGCTCTCAGGGCGTCCGTGCTGGTTGTTTTGTTGCCATCAGCTCGAAGCTCTGCGCTTGAGCCCTGGCCTGGCGAAGGGCAGTGAGGACGCCTCAATTCAATGCTCCTCCATTTGCTGTTCTCTTGCTTGGTTGCTCGTTCCCTGCTCCTCGTTCTTGTTGAAGGGAAGGGCTATGTGCCACGGAAGAAGGCATGGTGGGTGTGGTGGCGCCGCTGCTGTTGTCCCGTCCTGCTGCCAAACGACCAACATTCCAACACTATGACCAATCTCATTGTACATGTCCGAAGTGTGACTCTTTGTCTTGCAGGCTCCTGAAGCGGGGGAAGTCTGAGTTTTGTCTCTGTGTTGGGACCCATCTTCAACCTTCCACAGCCTGCACTATCGCCTGCATACATTCATACAGCGATCCCTGCCACAAGTTGGGTGAATATTCCCTACGACGGCTTTCCTTCAGGCGCGGCGTGCGAGCCGCCGGCCGCAGCCTGTGCCCTCGTGGGAGGCCGCAGATTCCGTGACGTCTGGGGTGTTTTCGGGTTTAAGGGCTTGAGGATGCTTCGGGTACCTTGTCTGCTTTTCGGTAGCTTGCCAGCTCGGAATCAGATGCGTAACGTGATTTGCATCTGCGTCGGTGGTGAAACTGCTGCGTCGATGCTCGGGTTGACACTGATTCTATTACAGGTATCTGTGTTGACACTGATGAGTAGGCTCAGGGTTTCAGCAGACCTGAGTCCCGCCAGGCATATTTCGGTGCGACAGCGGAGCTTCTCTACTACTCGCGCCACGTCAAGGCCGGTTCAGTGAGACTCGAAACCAACCCTTCAGAAGCCATAAACCTCCGTGCAGCCCGAGCGTTCCAACTGTGGATTCCGACTAGGCGAATATTGAGCTTACCCTCAGCTTTAGATTCGGAGCACAACACTTGAAAGTTGTCGTCAACATCCTGCAGACGGGTGTCTACAGAATTAATCATCGTCATCGTCTGGGGCGCGCTAGCCGAGGGGTATAAACGAGAGAGGCTGTGAATGAGCTGCGCACATGCCCTGGGACATGCTGTGCGCGTGCTCGGCAAAGAGGGGTGCTTTGAGGTAGTCCGCGTGTGCGGCACAGCCAGGCCTTCTGGTGCCTTCAGTACCCCAACCCCGAAGCCAAGTCCCGGCAGCTCCGGCCAGAAGTGCTGACGCCCAGATGCACGACCCCCAACAACTCCTCCAATCCCAAACCTTTTTCCAGGCAGACTTCGTACCCTTCCTGATGGGCTGCCTGGCGCCTTCGACGAATGCGGCAGCAGGTGCCTTCAAAGCCGAGCCAACACAAGTTAGAGTTTCAGGTTTGAGGGGTTCAGGGTTTCGTGTTGAGAATTTCGCTTTGGAAGTGGAGGGTGTCGGAGAAAGGTTTTATTGGAAGGGTCTCACACTGTGTTTGAGATCTTCAGGTTGAGGGAAACAGCAATTCTGCAAAACGGAAGCAGGCGTCGGTCAGGAGAGAGGAGGGAGCCGTTGATTCCAGTTCACACGTAACTTGATCGTAGGTCCCGATGCATTCGTTTGATGTCACAAGCCGCAACCTCAACATGAGTTTTTCAATGCCGACCCTTCTTTAAGCAGTACTTGCCTTGAAGCAGACAGGTGCCCAATGGTTCGGTGGCCTTGCCTTACTACCTATGAACCCCAACTCAAAATTCCAGGTACAACAGCTCGAAAACCCTAAACCCTAAACCCTGAACCCTAAACCCGAAAGTCCTAAACCCCTGTAAACCCTTTAAACCCTCTAAACCCTAAACCCGAAAGCCCTCAGGTGGGCCCCAGGCCCTCAAAGACTTCTTTGCAGCTCTCTTCTTTGACACCGTGCCGGCGGCCCTGCAGCGTCTGAACCTGGAAGGCCGAAAAGAGCTCCTGGTTTTGGGGTTTGGGACTTGGGTTTAGGGTTTCGGTAGGGGTTTAGGGTTTAGGCTTGGGTCTTGAGTTTAGGGTTTATGTAGGGGTTTAGGGTTTGGGTCTTGGGTTTAGGGTTTATGTAGGGGCTTAGGGTTTAGGGCTTAGAACTTGGGGCTCTTTAGGTCTTGTGATGCTTGGGGCATATAGGGCGTAGTTGTGCGATGCTACATTTTAGGATTTATCACCGCGGCTATTGTCGTGCGTGTTGCTGCGACAATGTCTCAGAATTCTCCTGATGTGTCCTCTTTGGTTTTCTTATGGGACGGGTCTGGATAGTAGGCAATGCTCCCCAAAAACTCGCTTTAGCCGCAGGTGCGATTCCCGCAGGGAAAGCAGAGCTTGAATCCGAACTCCGGGGACTTGCCCCGTTGTCTGCTGGACAGGAGAGCGCCGCTCCATGACGTGCGTGAGGTCGCTGACGTACGACCAGGCAGATGAGGGTCAACACACTCCCAGCGGTCTTTGCACGAGCAAGCGCATCAAGCTTCCTTGTGGTGCCTCTCATCCCCAAGCTCCTGAGCAGGGGCCGAAAACCTTACCCGGGGGATTTTCGAGAAGACAGACCCTTTCAGGGTACCTTGCCGTATTGTAGCCGAACATACGTCAAAAGGAACCCCAACTATGTAGAATCCCATGTTATTTCCGTTTCCAGGATGGCAAGCTGCTGCGACGGCCTGCAGATGGCGGATTGGTGCCTGACTCAGTCTGTGCGACTTTCAATAGTGGTTCTGCGAGGAGCAACACATTTTTTTTTTCGGGGGGGGGGGTTTAGGGTTGTAGGGTTTAAGTTACAGTGCGTTTTGACGATGACTCTTGGTGCTTCGCCACACAGCCCTTTTGCCATTTTTAGGATTGCATCGCGAAAAGCAGCGGCTTTCAGTGAGCCCACTGGGTCCGGTTGTAGCTTCGAGCTGTAGAACTTTGCTCTCCCACCACCCGTGCGGGTTCTGAACCCCGAAGCCCCCAGAAGAGCACGCCAACCGCACAAGGAATCACGGCAAACACTCACTGACAGGCACGAAACAGGCATGGAGTCAAACCCCTAGAAATGCTCATCAAAAGGCTCCGCCACACGGCCTGGGCTCGAAATTTCAAACATCATGGACTTCACAAGTCCATGTTGCAATAGATTATAAGCATTTGCCATATGTCGGAATACAGCGCCCAGCACAGAGCACGTGACCTGAACTTCCTAGAGCAGAACTTTAGAAGACTATCTTATTATGCAGTCTCCGAAGCCCTAAACCCTGAGCCAAGAAACCTCCTTCCACAAACCCTAGCCCCTTCAAGCAACACCCTGAAGCCTACACCTTAACCCACTCCTTAACCCTGAGCCGGTCCCTGAGATTCCGGTGCGCTCCGCGCCTCTGGAGCGATACCTGAAGGCCACCTCCACGAACCCACCAAGGCTGGGACTTTTTGGCTGTAGGGTTTTTTGGGGTTTAGGGTTTTGGGTGTCTGTGGGGAGTTTGGATAGTGGGTTAATCGTGTTTTCGGGCTTCGGGTCAGAAGTCGGGTCTCGGGTTGAGGTTTGGGGTTGTAGGTTCTCAGTTCAGGCTTTGTTGTTCTTGGTAAAGCGCATTCAGATGCGACTTTCGCCAGCCCCCTTCATCCGATATTTCTTGGGTGTCCCACCCTGCGACATTCATAGCCAAGGAGGCGTCTTTCACCTCACCTAGACAACTTCCAACACTGCTTGCTAGTAGAACTGCGCTTGACTCAGCCGGCAAGAAGCACTCTAAACCCTCCAGACATGCCGTGTGCCAGCTTCCACGGAAACGCATAACACCCTCCTTTAACATCTTCGACTTTAAGGAGCCCGGCAGGAGCCAGAGCGCCTAGCAACCCGCACAGAAACCGCAATAGATCCCATAAAGAACCCTTTTTTGTGTAACCTTATAGTAACTTTATAGTATCCGTATAGTAACCTTCTAGTAACCTTCTAGTATCCGTATAGCAACCTTATAGTAACCTTCTAGTATCCTTATAGCAACCTTATAGTAACCTTCTAGTATCCGTATAGTAACCTTATAGTAACCTTCTAGTATCCTTATAGTAACCTTATAGTAACCCTACCCTGCCCTGGGGTACCGGGGTGCCAAGGACCTGGATCTCTGGCCTCGCCGAGTCCCTGCGCCAGCGCGGCGCCGCGGAGCTCGTGCAAGCGGCGCAGGAGGGCGAGTTTTTTTGTTTGGGTTTAGGGTTTAGGGTTTAGAGTTTAGAGTTTTTTTTTGGACGGCCGTAAGAATGATAGCCATAATTAACGGTGGGTTGCGGATGTAGGTTTTAATGAATCTTCACGGCCGCAAGGATGATAGCCAAAATTAACGGTAATCTTCACGGTCGTAAGAATGGTAGCCATAACTAACGGTGGGTTTAGGTTTAGGGTTTAGGGTTTAATGAATCCTCACGGTCGTAAGAATGGTAGCCGTACCTAATAACAAGGAAGCCATCATCGTTCTAGTGGTAATATGAGCAATGGCCATAACGATCAAGTTAAGGTTGTCTGTGGCCCACAGGAATGTTTACGTACAGCTGAAGGTTTGAAGATTTCTCGGTTTGTCCACTGACTGAGAGAGTACAACAAGAAAGAAAATAATGCTCCATAGGTCCAGAGGGTTCATGGTCCATGCCTTTAGTAGGCGTCAGGTTGGAGGGGCAGCCTCAAGGCCCCCACAAAAGGAGTCCGAGCTGCGTGGGGGGCTGGACAAAAAGCCTGGCACCCCACAGGCGCCAATCCAAGGCTTCAAGCCTCCCAACACTTTCTCCAGCTCCTACATAGGGTCTAGGGTTTAGGGGTTTGCGGTTTCGGGTTTAGGGTTTGGGGTTTAGGGGGTTTAGGGCTTAGGGTTTAAGGTTTGGCATGCCCCCACACTTCCAGGAAGGCTGTAAGGATACAAGTGAGGTAAGCGTACTTAGAATTAGCGATCGAGGCCACCAGGGTACAGGTCACGGCACCTGTGGTCACCCATGAGTTCTTCCCACAATTTCCTTCAAACCCAAGAGCACAACCTGAAATCCCAAACTATCCAAACTCCCAAACCCCAAACCCCAAACCCAGCAACCCAAAACCCGCTTTCAGGACTGGTACCTGTCCGCAGTGAGCCATTTGCTCGAGGATCCCAAGGCTCCGTCGATTCAGAAACGCGTAACATGAAGATTAACGTCTTAGTTACTTAGTTATAAGTTGAATAAGCCCCACAGGAGTACACTTGTACTTGCTATCATGATTGCGACAGTACCAAACGATATTTGCTCAGGTCTCTGGCTCATGATCATGATTACCCTTGTCACTTTTAATTACGATTGGCATTGTTTGCCAGCGGTATAGCGATTGCTGAGGATGTGCCAAGATGATGAAACAAGTGTGGAGGCATAGGGCAGCATGCTAGCAGCAAGCCCATGTAAGCTCAGCAGTCCTAGCGTAAGGATGGTGCTTCCCTGCTTACGGAGCGACTATCAAGCGCCACACAATCAGCTTCAAATGCTCCCTAAACCCTAAACCCTAAACCCAACCCTGTCTCCGCGGTCTCAAGTTCTTGACCCTGACGTCCTCGCCTTGGAGCGCCTCAGTCTGAACGCACAAATCACTTCCTGCAGAGCGCCGACGATGACGGCGACTACTTCCTGGCGTGGCTTCGGGAGTGCTGCCGGGAGGTCTCGCACTCGGGTTCCACAGTCTTTGTCTGCTTATCCATGTGCAAACTTCGATTTTGCTGCTGCCGGTTCTGTAGTGTTTCGAGTCGGAAACAAGAAACAGCTGTCCGACTGTTTTCTGCCAGAGCCAGAATGCGGAAACCTAGTGCTTGGAACGAGTCAGTGCAGCTCTCATTGACAGTCTGTTCCTCTTCGCTCTTGCTTAGTGCAGCCCCCGACGCATATGCCGGACGTAAAGCTATCGGACACATCTCCTGGCACGTACTTGGCAAGGTCTACGATGATGTTGACAGGACGGGCGGTGTACATTCCCGGCAAACATAGTTGGTACTTATGCTAATTGTTCACAATTTGCATGTCCCTCTCAGTTTCTGCAGCTTTCATGATGCAGCCCTCGGATAAGAGAGCCAGGAGGTCTGTGTAGACATACCCTGTTGAACCTGTTGAGGTTGTTAGAGCACCAAAGCACAGACTCATGATTTAGTGCTGGGTTTGGCACGGTTGCGCTGGGCACATGTGTAGGCTCCGCTCGGGCAAGTCTGGGAATCACAGGCAGCAGAACTTTAGCGATGCTTCTCCTGTTGCCTTTGTCCTGGTTGTCACGTCCTACATATTGTTGCACATACACGTTCAGATCCCATACCAGCGGGTTTGACTTATCAATCCCTTGCCTTCTTGCATGGTCAAGGAACGATCCCAAAGAGCTGCGTACCATGAAGAAAGTCAGGACTTGCTTTGGTGTGTGTGTGTGTGTGTGTGTGTGGGGTTGTATGCTCGCTCTACAGCCTTGCTCGGTAGGTTCCGGCATGTCTTGGCAGGCTAAGGGTTAAGAATGAAGTGCAAAGAATGGAAAACAGGTCTTAGAATTTTTGAAGGCAACAGAGAGGGTTTCGGAAGGACGTACACCCTCGTTAAGTGTCCCTGCTTCTTCCGGCAGAGTTGCGATGCTTCAGTGGGATGATCTAGCCACGACTGCACCTGGAAGCTAGAACTCGCCAGGTGTAGTAGCCGGGCTTCGAAACGATTTAGTTTTTGTCGAAGCTGCTCGCGGTCTTGAGGAGTGTGAAGAACAAGACCAAGCGCCATAACCTCGCCGACATCCGCATCCCGAGCATGGAGGAACCTGGGAGCTCGCAGCACAAAGCAGCTTGTACTATAGAGGCCTGAATAATTACCTATGTTATGCTTTGGGGTTCCTTACTATATTTATAGTATAAGGGGACCCAAACACTAGTCTAATTTAATTTTTAAGGCCCCCACAGTACTCCGGATCGCCGATTGCAACATGGTGGGAGTGTTCGGCTTGGAGGCTCTGCCACTCCCTCAAGCACGAAGCGTGAACTGGGCCTTGCGGAGCCGCGTAGCCGTCGAGCTCTGAAGACGCAACGGCCGGGCTCCAATGTAAACAGAGGCCGTAGGCCACGAGGTGGCAGAATCTAAACATGATTGCGCCGGGTAAATTTGGAAGGCGTCCTTTGGCAAGGACGGGGACTGGATGGTGGTGATGGAGGGGGGGGGGGCCGTGATGACTACCAGTGACAAGATCGGAAGGCAACAGCAGGTCTTTTGCGAGACCACCTCGGCTACAACTTTCAACCCCGACCCAAGCGCTACACATGGCTTTTGTTCAGGCATGTCTGTGAGAACGGTGCTGTCACCGGCTCTGCGAACGGTCCCATGCTAGTTAGGAGGAGATACCTGGAGGTTTGAATTTCTCCATCAAAAGCTTTGCTGGTACGAGCGTAGTATCCTTTTCTACACACCCGCTGCAGAGGAAGCCTTCCGAGAGCTTGCCGAGTTCGAGCCGCAGTCGGGGTGCTCAGTGGCATGCCTCGGAGGTTTCCGAGGATCTGCGGGTTTGAGGGCGGTTGTTTTGCAGCAAAGAGGTTTAGGGCAGGGTGGCTGAATACCCACAGTGCCATGCCACGATCTGAACTAAGCTTCATGATGCAAGGATGCTTTTGCAGTCTCGAGAGCTGGGCCCCAAACCCAGCTCTGAGGTCAGGCAGCAGCCGCAGGCAGCGTGCCGGGGCCTCGGGTGGAGGGACGGTTCAGAGGTGGCTGTGACGGAGTGACTTATTGCCAGTACAGTGCCTCGTCTTTGCCTCGTCTTTGTGCCAGTTGTTGCTGTCCTGAAGAACCAATCATGAGACGCATTTGCACACACTCAGTTTGACGGTTCGCAGTATTCGGTGATGCTTCTTGTAGGTATTCCAACTGGCCTCGCCAATACTATTGATGCTGCTTGCGACGACGACGACCACGGCGTCTGATACTAGAATTGTGACTACTTGTTGGCTACCTGCGTTGCTAGTACAACTCGGACTGTTGATGCTTTTCCTCCCGCATCATTATGATTTCAAGCGAGTCTTGCCACGATGCCACAGTCATTACTTCGACTGCTCCTAACGCTACCATGAGGGCTCTTTTGTGCCAGTGCTTCACATGGCAGCATAGTGGCCATGGCATGTTGAAATGGAGCCCTAGCGTAGAGTAGACACGCGCACTCTCTGTGTTGCTTACATTCCGTCAAAGCCATGCTTCATGCTGGCAAAGCCTTGGCCGCGGCTCCTCTGTACCCGCACCTGTGTTCCCCGCAGTGCGACAAGGTTCGGGAGGGAGCCCCTGGGCAGCTCTCCAGGAAAAGTTCCGGGGCGGCAAACGCAGGTGCGACAATCTCCCTGGCCGTTGCTGCGGTAGCCGCCCTCTGGCGCCGGCCCCGATCCAAGACCTGGAGACAGGCCAGGAGAAGGCGAGCGTTGCATGCGTTGCATGCGATACAGTACTGCGATGGTTTGGTACTGGGAGGCCGACCTGCTTCCGTCTGGCTACCAGGCTCCACGGGAAAAAGCATCCCCTCATACTCTTATTCTTTCAGCTCTCGAAAGCTCTCCAGAAGCGTTCTGGGACTGCCGCTGGGTTCCGGGCCGGTCATGGTCGAGGTGCCAACCTCGTGTGAGGTGAGTCTTGGCGATTTGCCTTCAACAGTCACTGCCCGCGGCGCCGTCCTTGTTCACGGCCTCCTGTGCTCCCGCCTGGATCTGGCGCACGTTGCCGAGGCACTGGCCAGCATGGGCTTCACGGTGGTGGCGCCCGAGATGGACGACTCGGTGAGCCACGAGGATGCCGTGGCGCCTGGCGGCTTCGTGGGGGAACTGCTGAATCGGGAAGAGGGCGAAGCAAGGCGCTGCGAGGTGGCCAGGGAGGCGGTGGCTTGGCTCCAGGAGCGGGGTGCCCAAGAGGTGGGGCTGGTGGGCCACTCCCGGGGTGGCGTGACCATCTCCCAGCTGGAAGGCAACTTCTGCCGTGTGAACATCGCAGGCTTCCAGCCACCTCCTGTGGATCCAAAGGAGACCTTCTCGCCTTCTTGCCGCGGAGGGCCGATGCTCATCATTTGCGGCCAAGATGAAGTTTGCACCCGACCACCGCTGTCCATGCAATACGTGCAGGATACCGTTCGAAGACTTCTGCCTGATGCCCAAAGCTGGTATCCTCCTGGCGTGGGCCACTTCTCCGTGCTGAACCCAAACGTCGTCGCGCAGTGGCGACCCTTGCTGGGCCCCGCTGGCTTCCTCGCACCCGACTCAAAGCCCGAAGTTTCGGAGGCCTTGGCCGAGCGAGTGGCTGCGTTCCTGGACACTGAGATGCCGTCAGTTAAAAAGGAGACGCCTCTCGCTTCGGAGACTTCCCAGGCTTAGGGTTTGTGCTGTTTCTCGCTGCAGGCTTTTTGCGTGATGTGATAAAGTGCCGGATGGAGCGATTGACTAGCATCGAATTTCAGGAAGGAAGGCGGATTTTGGAAGCATCCCAAGCCCTCAAGACTTCAAGGCTGAAATAACACGCGATAACAGACTTTAACCTACAGTATATGTTAACATATCCCATAGTCAAACGTAACATCTCGGTTTCCAGCGCTTCCTGTGATCAGAACCCGATTCTGATCGAGAAGGACGTGCACACCAACTCCCAGGAAGCTAAGACCCCAAAGCCCGACCCCTCCACCCCACCCCCAGCCACAACCCGCACACTGTGGCCGTCTTCCCAGGTGTTGGCGAAGATCGTGATCGATGCTTTCCAGCTGCGACTGGTGGACCGGCACCAGGGTGCCGGGAAGATTTTGGGAATGTTTCGGGGGCAGGGAGGGGCTCATGCAGACATGGCTTGTCTCCTTGAGCCCTGAAGCGAGGACTTGGCAGCAATTCTCCGGGTTGCTGACTGCGTGCTTTCGGCCAGAGAGGTGGGCCGGAGAGTTGAGCTGTGGGTCATATGGCTCTGAAGGCCTCAGGTTAGAATTGGCTTGCGTTTGGTGATGTATTGCACAGGGTTGCGGGTAGCTGTCGTTTGTTAAGTTTTTTGAGCGTGCGCCTGTTGTTCGAACATCATGCTTCTCCAAGAGTGCAGAAGCTATAGCCATTCGCCCTTCAACTGGCAGGGTTGGAGAAAAAGGTTCCATGGTGCCTTTCTTCTGTCGCACTTGTTCGAGTTTTGCTTGGGCTTGTAGCCCGGCCCAGAATCTGCGGCGGCCTCCAGTTTCCTCTTGGCGGGGGACGAAGCCTAAAGCCTGAACCCGACACCCAGGATGAGGAGGTGGTGGTGGTTCTGTATGCTGGAGGCAGGGGTCTTGGGTTCCTTTGTTGTGCAGTTGGCCGCATTTGTCAGGAGATGCTACATAGACCAAAACTGCGTCCTCACTCCACAGCAAAGCTTTTTAGCCTGAACCAGTAGTGTTTTGCGCGTATGTCGTGAACCCTCAGCATTTTTCTACCTTGGGGCTCTCAGCAAGGTCGAGAATATTCTAGGCTTGTGGGGATTGTCGTAGATTCTCGGTGAGTAGATGCAGGAGTCGACAACTACAACACTGTTTCATTGTGGTTTGCTGCCTATCAACTATGGCATCCAAAGCAAGCACTTCTGTAGTGCTCTTGGTGCAGGGTTTTGAAGGCTTGGGTTCTCGAGTTTAAGCTTCCCCAAAAAAGAAATTCATGGATTCCCCTGTGACTTTATCCTCTTCGCTCTAGGAGTCTAGGGCTTTAGGGATTTGGGGCTTTCGGGTTTAGGGCTTTAGGGGTTTAGGAGGTACTATATATGGTAGTTCTCTAAATTAGGATCCCTTTAAGGGGTCCCCTAGGGGTTTAGGGCTTTAGGGCCCTTTTTCCCCCCGATTGCCAGGCTCAGCTCGCTTCGGCCCCCGAAGCCGGGCCTCTCCTAAAAATCCCATCCTTGGGATCCTATCCCTAGGTTTAGGGATTTAGGGTTTTTCGGGTTTAGGGTTTAGGGATTTAGGGGTTCAGGATTCCCTGACCCCCTCAGTAGGCCCAGCTAGAGTTAGGCCTGTAAGCTTCTTGCGCCGACTGCCCTGATGATGGTGAGGATGGCGGTGACAATGGTGATGACCGTCATTGCCACCGCGAAATTTTCAAAAAGTAGCTTCATCACTACCAGGTGCCCACGCGCACTGCGTGGAGGAGTTCTGGCGTGCCCAATCCTTCACCAGCGACGACTTGCCGAAGAGGGGCCTCGACGCTTGACGTCAATCTGTGTTCGTGTGGCATCAGAAAGTGCTTTGGAGTTTGAACGTGGGTCGATAATTCTTCTGATGTCCTGGGTGTCATGGGGTCGTGGCGTTTTGTTGCTTAAGGGGTTTTGATCGGATTTGACAGGTCTGGCCATACCGTCACCTCCCTGGTCCCTCATCCAAGCCCGAGTCACTTGAGCGTCGCGTCATGCTTGTACTCTGTGTCTGTATCTTGCGCAGAGATGGCCATCCAGCATCCTTGAGCTTTCTTGGTTCTGTATGCATGGACTATGGACGATGCGCAGTATCCGAGGACGAAGCCATGAGTGGCCTCTGGTAGTGCGACGGGCCCAAACAGCACGCCTCAGAGAAGCCCCAACTGTTAAATTCCGAGGTTTGGAAACTTCAAGCTCTCCAAACTGAGGTGGGGAAGGACGACTGGGATGACGACGAGCCTCGGGGACTTGTGCTGCCCAAGTACCTGTGCCTTGGCCTGTTTTGGCTTAGAGCCTTAGAGCGTTGGAAATCACCGACACCCCACAACTCCAAAACTCGCAGCACAAATGTTGAACACCGAAGCCGAACCACACCCTCCAAAACCCGAGCCGAATTCTCAAGCTGCCATGCACTCTAAGGCACGATTTCGATTTGCTCTTCCCGCAAGATTCGGGCGAGGCGCACGCACCAGACGAGGCGATGTTGGAGGGCGCGGATGAGGAAGCAAAAGCCCAAGAACGGGAACTGGGATTCATGGAAGGGGTGTATGTGATGGAAAAGATGGCCCTGTCCACGACCAGGAAGGGAGTTTTGGTGGTGATGGTGATGATGCTGATACTGATTATGGCAGTGGTTGTGATGCACAATGATGACGGTGGCCATGATGACGACAACAAAGATGCTGCTGCTGATGATGATGGTGATGATGAGTCTGAATCGCGGAACATATGATAGAGGTAGAGAATCTGCAGTGAGAGCCCGCTCCACATCTTACGATGACCATCTGCACAAGAGTCCGTAAACGTCACAGTCACCATCCTCATCTTTATCATCATCATCATCACCACCACCATCATCATCATCGCTACTACCAGGACATTCGTGGTCGTCCTCCAGACAGTCGCATGTCTGGCTTCGGATTTTTTGTTGGGAGTGATGGGCAGTAGGGCCAGCCCGGAAGCCTATGATCTGACACCTGCAGCATGAAGGGAGCAGCATGTGGTGCTTTGTGCTCGACCGCAGCGCCTCTGAGCATTCTCAGCCGACCTCCTTGCTGTCCATCGCCCCGTGCTTCTCGTAGCCATGCGTGAGCTCGTGCACGTTCAGGGTGGCCAGTGCACCTCGGCCCGCATCTGGAGCCTTCAAGACGAAAGTGCCCGAAGTTCATGGCCAGGGATACATGAGAGGCGGTCCTCTCAAAACCATCCAAAAGAGCTCACAGCCTGCTGCAGGCGGCAACCAGATCGGTGCCAAGTTCTGGGAGGCCGTGCGTGTTGAACCGGGCCGCTTCACCTTCGGTGCTCCTCCCAACCTTCCTCGTCTCCAAACCCTAAAATCGACAACATACATTTGGAGCGCTCTCCAGGGAGCGGCGTTTTCATTTGGCCGCAACCTTAACAAGCAAAGACATATTTTCGGCTGTCGCCAGCGAGGCTGTTGCATGATTGCTTCCTCAAGCCGTGTCTAGGGTCTAAGTCTAAGACTCTAAGACGTGTAGCGATCTTGTTTGATTCTTGCCGGATCTTCCCCGAGCATGTGCTTTGTCGTGCATGCGGAGTGAGGAAGACAGCTGTAGGAAACCACGTAGTTGGAACGTAGGTTTTTCTACAGTATCTTGTTCACATGCAACTCTGTCGATACACAGTGCTTTTGGGGGTATTAGGGAATGACACAACATTTTCCAGAGCTAGCCGTTGCGTGGTTTCAGTGCTGGTGACGGCTGGCTGCCGGCAGTAGGCTAGCAACACATACTTGTGCAAGATTGCTCTGATGTCAATGGCGAACCCCTGAGCAACCTCAGAGCTCTGTGCCCGCTGGACTTTGCATCTTGGACCCAAGTCGTTCAACCACCACGACTGTCGAGATCCTAATACTTGAAGCCGATACTTTAGCTTACATGAAAATGCGAAAATGCGCACAAGTCTAAGATCAACGGCCTGAGCTGAGTCAGGTGATCGCCGACGAGCACGGCATCGACCCTACAGGCGGCTTGGAGAGTTGCAGACAGCTGTGAAAAGATTCAGGTTTAGGAGTCGGTGAGAGGTTTCTCAGCTTCGATTGAATCTGCAATACCAGTTCGCATAGTTTGTGCGATGGTCACCAGGACATGACATGGATCTGATTCGAGTTCCGGTTGCGCAAGCAAGTATGCAGCTTCGTGTTGAGATGTGTAGGGAGACTGTCGGTTTCAGACAGCTCTGGCTGGATGATGCTGGATGCAGGCACCTACCATGGTGATTCCGACCTGCAGCTGGAGCGTATCAACGTTCCTGTGGTGCAAGAGTGCGGTCTGCGGAAAGCGCATGTTGACATTGTGATCTAGACATCTCCCAGACATTGCACCCCTCTGAGACCGTGGTAGGGATGAAGATGGGCAACTGACGTCTAGGTTGCTGCACCCTAACCCTAACCCGCACATCTTCCCCGCAATACCCGAGCTTTTGCTCCAGCCGCTCCTGCTGCTAACCCTCTATGGAGCTAGGTTGTGCGCAGTTCGTTCGCACAGGTGTACTTCAATGAGGCTACCGGCGGACGCTATGTTCCTCGCGCGGTCCTAATGGACCTTGAGCCAGGCCATTGTGCGCACCGAAATTGCTGATCCCATGCTTCCTTGTCCATCTGCATGTTTGCGAGGAACCATGGACTCCGTCCGAGCCGGGCCTTTCGGACAGCTCTTCCGTCCCGACAACTTCGTCTTTGGACAGACAGGACAAAGCAGACCACTGCCTCCAATAGCCAGCCCGAACGAAAGCTGCTGTGCAATGTGATGGTAGCTGCTGCAGGAGCTGGCAACAACTGGGCCAAGGGTCGAGGGCCCTGTAGCAAGCCTTGCTCCACAGAGCTCCATTGTGTTGGGCACTTATCCGAAGAGTTGAGGTCACTACACTGAAGCCCCCAGCTTAGCTTCGAGCAGCTCACCTCTGAAACTCGGGGCTTTTGGATGCGACTCCTGCAAGCTGAGGGTGCAGAGCTCATTGACTCGGTGCTCGACGTTGTGCGAAAGGAGGCAGAAGGCGGCTCTTAACCAGCACCCTGAGATGCTTCCGAGCCTCTTCAAGCGCCGTGAGTTTCAAGCTTCAATACGCAGAACAGGTCATTTCATGTCTCTTAGACTAGCCTGTGTTCGTGTTCTCAGGAAGCATTCAACTATCCCGCTTACTTTGAGTCCACATTCATTGGACGGTGGACACAAATGCGGCCCCACCATGAGAGTTTATGCACAAGTCCTCTCATGCAGGCTGCGACTGCCTCCAGGGCTTCCAGCTCTGCCACTCGCTCGGTGGCGGAACCGGTGCCGGCATGGGAACTCTGCTCATCTCCAAGGTGGGAGCTATGCAAGAGAGAGCAGGGACGGTATGAGCATAATCCTCTGAAGAAGCAGTCGTTAGAGAATGCCGCCGCAGGTGCGAGAGGAGCACCTTGGATCGCAGCCGCAGTGCTTAGGTGCAGGCGGGGAGTGGACTTCGACATGCATTCATATACTGCGAACGTACACCGTACTAGTATCTGTTAGTCAACCGTTCAATCCAACCAGTTCAAGTCAGTTCAAAAGAAGTCCAGTCAGTCAATAGATCAATCAGTCAATGATGCCATGAATCAATAATTTAGGGAGTTAAGGAATCAAACAATAAGGAGCCAATCACGCAATTAATCTATCAAGGAATGAATCAAGCAGGCAAGCGAGCAAGCCAGCAAGCCTGCAAGCCGGCAAAGTAGGCAAGCCTGCAAGCCGGCAATCAATCAATCAATCCATCCATCCACCCATCAATCAATCAATCACTCATTCACTCCATCACTCCATCTAACACTGGCACTCGCACTCCCGCTCCCACTCCCGCTCCCACACCCACTCACAGACTCACTCTCGCTCTCGCTCTCACTCTCCCTCTGTCTGAATGTCTGGATCAGCCTCTCCGCTTTGTCGGTCCATCTATCCATGAGATCCGTCTGTCCATAAACATAGATATGTAGTGAATGTCATAGTTGTTAAACATCTACGCTGAGTCTACGCGGTACAGGAATCTGAGTTACAGTTGCATGTGAAATGCACCAGGAAAGCCTGAACACGTCACGCCGACGTTAGGCTCAAGGACCGGACACGCACCGCAGCGAGCCCAGTAAAAGTGCGGCGTGCCCCAGCTTTGCAGGAAACTCTAGACAGTCCCATTCTTTAACATGGTAGCGGAGGAGCCGAAGGCAGCGATGTACTACTGATAGCAGGAACCCTGATGTTCGTCGACATGGGAGTATGCCTCGTCTGCGCGCGGACCCAGATATGTGGTCCTTATGCTGTACACCTCCATGGTGGTGACGACGGGGCTGAAATGCAGGTTTGAGCAGCAAAGAGTGCCCTGCACCTGGTGTGCCGGTTTATGATAATCAATTTTGCATGGGTGTTCGGTCTTGCCTCGTGTGGAGTTGACCGCATGATGCATGGAAGCTTCCAAACTCGATGTTAGCTCCCCTTCGAGCAAATGCAAAGCCAGACGGAAGCAGACGTTGACAGGTCCTTTCCGCGTAGGAACGGTTCTCAAAACCATGGGATGTGTTTGCATCCTTGCGAGATTAGTTGGCCACAGGCGCGCAAACGGTGCGGACCGTAGAGGCTGGCTCTTTAGTTGCTTTGGAGAACCATGCGATGCACCTCTTGTAGGCGGTGGTGAACCACCGCTCGCAAGCGCAACGAAAGGATTTCCAATCTTGCTAGTGCTGTGACCGAGCTTGGTGAACAAGTTAGGTCGTTGCATGTTCAGTTTGGTGGCCACGATGCCAATGCATGAGCCAATCAGCAAGTGGCACCAACAAATCATTCGGCCGGCAAAGCCCCGAAGCGAGCACGTCAGCTTCTCAGCGCCTTCGTCAGCACAAGAAGCATGCCGCCAACGTTTCGGATCAACAGATTCGAGACACGCCCCAAAGCATTCTGAACAAGTACTGCCCCGAGGTGACTTCATCACCCGCGGTTCAAACGCCTGCCGTCGAAAAACCCAAACGGTGGGCGGAGATGGTCAAACAGAAGCTTAGCCCTGAGAATGCTACACCCATATCCAGGCCTGAGCCTCATCGCCGCTTAAACCAAGCGTGGGAAGTTGCCAAGCACAGGTAAGACACGTCCGTCCAAGCATACGCTCACTGCTGAGGAGTGCACGCCGGAGGCAACCCTCCAGGCCGGGAATCACGCTGAGCAGAGGTGCCTCTTTGCCCTATGCAACTCTTCGAAGCTTGATCTTAGGGTTTGGGCATTTGACAGCAAGCGCAGCCAGTGAGATTTCCACCATCGTGCGCCCGACAGGGAGCTGACTGCATAAGGCCCCTACCATCATTACCTAAAGTTTCAAAGTAGCCATATTGAATGGCGGAAGCCCGTCCCCGAAGCTAGTTCAAAGCTGGTTGCAATCTGCAAGGATGCAACCACTCAGGTGTTCGGCAGTTATAAGCGAAAGTTCGACGATGATGCTTTAGACTTGTATTTCTCACGGGCTGTGCCTCGGACCCTGGCGACGTGCAGTCCTGCAAAAGAGCCATGTCCGTACTGGGCCTTTCCGCGGCAAGTGCAAGCACTGCTAAGCCAAGCGCTGCGCAACTGTCGACACTAAGTTTATGCCAGGATCAGGCAGTGTAGCTTCTAACTCGCACCCCTGCTCGAAAGACTCAGGTCCCAAGGGACTCGCCCCAGGTGACCTTAAGTGTCCGTGTGGATGGAAGAATCCTGCCGACGCAGAGGCCAATATGCTTATTCTGAGGCATTGACCCTGATTTCATCCCCTTACCCGAAAGGAACACCCAGGAGCGCCGAGGAAAGTTGTGCGTTTGAAGTTTGAAGAGTGCACCGAGGACAATGGTCGTTCAGTTCCGATGGAGCTGAGCTGGTCAGGTACCACAACACACCAAGGAAAAGTCGATTTCATCCGTTGGACGTGAAGGACGTGCCCGTAGAGCCCGAAAACCCTCAAGAACGACAGGACTACTTACGAAGAAGATCCAGTGACGCAGGAATTCTTTGAGGACAAGATGCCACTCGTAGCAGATGAGCATGACGAGTTTTTCGGCACGTTTTGAAGGTAGAGCTTGGGCAAGACGAACTAGGTTCACTCTGATCTGTTCAGTAGAAGGCACACAGGCCCAGCAACAAGAACAAAGGCTCCAAACGATCCCAGAAACAGGAGACATGGAGACTGATGCACAGGAACCGCAGACCCCTGCACACAGGCACGAACTCCAGGGAGAACACACGTTTACCTACCATGGTCATGAGTGCAATCAGCAGAACAGCCTGAAGATTCTCAAGGACTTGTTCCTCGAGACCAACATTCTGCGTTGACTTTTGCTTCACAGGGCCAGCAGCAGTTAGCTTGGTTTGCATCGATTCACATCAGTGAAGGAATCACGTACGTGAGCACTCAGTTGCGGTACAACACTCAACTTGAAAGCTGACAATGAAGGAGCCCTGAGAAAGCTCAAGCAAATTGCGCAAAAGCAGAAAGTTTCTTGAGGACTAGGAACAACACTTCAGTACGCAGTCTCAAGCCAGCAGGAAACCAACGCCGTGGCCGCGCGAGCAATCCAAACTGTACGCAGGCAAGCCCTTAATTTGATCCCAGGTTTGCAGGAAGAAGCAAAGGTGTTAATAGTTGTTCAGTTGGGCATTCAGGCATGCAGCGCGGATCTTGTGCCACACGCACAGAATACGGGAATGACGCCGTATTAATTTCTGCAGAGGTAGCGAAGGAACACTTTGCCAGCTTGGTGACAGTCTGATGGTCTTGGGCGACAAGGCCTGCAGTGGGCCTACAGGTTTGTTTTTTTTCGGAAAGATTGACAACAACCTCTTCATTGCTTGGCGCATGGATGTCATCAAGACCCTGTAGATCCGTGAAGAGATGTCCTCAACACTTTTTGGCCTGAGAGCACTCACTCGTGCAGGAATCCATACATGGGAAGTCATGCACACAACCCTGTAGTTGCCAGGAAGGACCTACCAGGACCTAGTGAAAACACCAGCGCCTATGGCAGTCCTGGAGACCAAGCTGGCATTGGAGCCATCGCTCCAGGAATGCAGAAGCCCGTTCTGACAGGTGGGGCTAGTACACCAAAGCCAGGAACAGTCACACCAAGAAGAACAAATCTTTACGCCAAGGCGAAAAAGGCCAGAGAGCAGGAACAGCAGCGCCCAAGGACCAGAGCAAGAAGACCCAGGTCCACACGGAGCAGGAAGTGATGCTACGCCTACAAGCCAGGTAAGCCATGGACTAGGGCCCGACGAAGCCGGTAGCGCCAACGCGCCAACAAGTTAGGTAGATCACTTTCAAGCCGGTGACAGCATGAGCACAGACCAGGACCAAGAAGGCATGCAGGAAAATCAAGGTAGCAATCTGTTGTTGCCTAGAGCACCAGCAGCGAAGTATGAGTATGATGATGTAGGAACAGGGTCAAAAATGCCAAGGACTGAAAAGTCACCGAAGAGGAACTCCCCGCCGCTTAATGCAGGACGTGTGTGTGTGAGAGAGAGAACACAATGATGAACTTCTCCTTGATCCAGGATTTGACGACATCGACTGGGAGACTCTTACTCAGCGGTAGGAGATTCAGCAGAAGAAGAACAGGAGAGTGAGAGAGTCTTTAATGACGAAGACGCAGGACCTCCAGAGATTTTTGAGGAAGAGCTCAAGATCAAGGACAGAGAGGCCATGATCACAGAGATGGAGATAGTTTCAGGAATGCAAGCATTGGCAAGGCAAGCCCTTGGCGAACTTGGCTGGCACAGGAGAGACCAAGAAGAGAGAGAGAGAGAGAGAGACGGAGAAGGAACCCATGAAGTGGCTTACAGCTTACAGCCAAATTTGTATTCGACTGGCTATTCAGACCAGGATCGTGGAAGGGACGAGCTAGACTCGTAGCTCGAGAGTTCAAAGGGACACAGGAGCGATGTGGTCTCACCAGCCACACCGGCTAGCCTCACCAGGCTAGTACATGTGATCGCACTTCAGCAAGATCTTTCAGTCTACAGCGTGGGTAAGCATTCTTAAAGCTACCGCAAAGGACCAGAACAGCTTGCGAATTTCCGAAGGAGTACGTAGAAGTGTTGCAGGACACAGATCCGTCTTGGCTTCAGGAAGGACTGCTTTTTGCTCAGAGTTTGGCAAGCGCAGCAGCAGTGGAGGCAGAGAAGGAACTTATGGAGCATGGAAGTAGGCACAGCACGAAGAGAGGCAGAAGGAGCGCGAGAGACGCGAAAGGAAGCGAGAGTGAGAAAACGAGGAAGCAGAAGCAACAGTAGAAGAGGCAAGGAAGAAGCAAGGTATTGCGTAGATGTTCAACACCCCGCCGAAGCTGGTGAAAGTCGTTCCTAGACTAAGCTG